ATGAATCTATAACACAACTATTTTTGTTTTGGTGATTTGACAAATGTCAAAGGTAAACCTGTAAAGGTAAAATGAAGGTAGACAACTACTAAAACGAAAATAATTGAAAAAACACTCTTATTTTTCGCTTTGTAGATAAAACGTTGTACATCACACCCCACATAACAAAATTGCATCCTTAGAATGTATTATAAGAATGTTCTTTTTTTAGGAGGAATGTGCCTAGAATATTCGCCAAAACCATTGCGAATGTCCTGAGAATGTTCTGAGAAATAATTGTAGAAATACTGTTTGCAATACCCAAGAACTTCCTGGGAAATACATTAGGATATTCTTAGAATATACTTATGAGATTCTCAGTATATCCTGAAAAAAATATTCCTGTTTGATTCTAAAAATATACTCGAAATGTATATTCTCATATTCAAAGAATATCTCTATGACATTATAGTTATGTTCTCAAAAGAATATTATACCAATATGCTTGAAATATTCTTAGAATATATCTACATATATCATTCTCAATATGCATCCTAGACATAACATTCTTGTTTGATTCTAAGGATATACTTGGAATGTTAATTTTCTTTTCCAAATAATGCTCCTTCCAGTCCTTTTATATTAAAGGCAGTGAAAGAATTGTTGGAAAATTTCTCTGGAAAACACAAGTGTTTAACCGAAACTCCGGTTTCGAGCTTGTTATGATCTCGCCCAAGCATGCCAACTGAGAGAAACAGGTTCCAAGGTGATTCAAACGCGAGGCAAGATGTAGATATTTAATAATAGCGCGTGGCTCCCTCTCTTGGAAGTCCTACAAAGCAAAAGAAAAAGAATATACCTATAATATTCTTAGTAGGTTCTAGATAGAGCATTATTGTTTAATTGTTCAATTAAGTTTTTGAGTAGGTACTTTAGATAATTAGGTGAACAATATGGAAATATTCTTATCATGGGTATACCTACCTACATAAACTTCTCAGCACAACTTGGTAGGTATATTCTTAATACTTGATAGAGATATTAGCCGAAGGAACATTTTTCAGGGTACATTATAATAATGTTCGTATGAGAATATTCAAATAATGTTATATAAAGTAGGTTCTTAGTACAATCTTTCAGGTAGGTGCATAGAACCAACATTCCTAGTACATAAATAGAACGTTCAAAAATGAATATTTCAATCGAAACAATCTTAGAATATTCATTGAACATTCCTAAAAGAACATTCTAAAAAGTACTTTGAGGGAATATTCTGAGGCTATGAATGTTCTTTCACTGTTATGTGGGACGTGCGTTTAAACATGACTACAAAACTCGTGTGATTAGAACGACTCGGTCTACGACCTCGTCGTTCTAATCTTTCACACTCGTTATTTTAATCATGTTCATAAACGCACTTGTTGTGTAAATAACTATTATCTACAAGCGTTTGGTTATAACGTTTTTACATAACCATTTTTCTAGTATTTGAGTTTCGTCATGAGACTCATAACACAACTAGTGGTGTTATAGACTAGGTTATGAATTCATAACACAACTAGTGGTGTTATGGACGAGGTTATGAATCTATAACACAACTATTTTTGGGGATTTGACAAATGTCAAAGGTAAACCTGTTAAGGTAAAATGAAGGTAGACAACTAATAATGAACGAAAATAATTGGAAAAATATTCTTATTTTTTGCTTTATAGATAAAATGTTGTACATCACACGTGCGTTTAAACATGACTACAAAACTCGTGTGATTAGAACGACTAGGTCTTCACACTCGTTATTGTAATCATGCTCATAAACGCACTTGTAATGTAAATAACTATTAAAATATCAGTTTTATCACAAGAATAAATTGCTTGTAGTGACCTTCTGGTGATAAACTGTTAGTTTTGAATGCAGATTCATTAATAATATGTTCTAGCACATTCATTTCTGGAAAAAAAAAATGCAAAATGCAAATCTTTCAGAAAAACTATTTATATCTAGCAAGAACGACTTAACCACGTCTCGTTCTCACTTCTCATAGTTATATCAACTATAAAAGCTTAAATGAGAGAAAAATCAGAGAAAAAAATATAAATTTTAAAATTTTGTTATTTATCAATTTTTTATGTGTTCCTAAACAATCGCCAGTAAAAACAGTTTTACATGGCTAATAATGTAAAATAAGTAAATAAGTTCTATTTTTCTATCTGTAATTCCATTTATGGATGATTTTCGTCTCATATTACATTTCATCGAACAGGATTTTTTATCGGTGTAATCTTAACGACATCTTGTATTCAATGAACAGGATCGTGTGCATATAAACCAACACCTTCGCGACCCATTAATTGGGTGAAATCCTCTTGGAGTTAAGGTTTTCAGATAATGCAATTTAACCATTCAAACTGCTTAACCCGCTTAGCTTCTAGTGGTTAATCCTATCATCCAGTAATTATAGTGTGTCCAATCACTCCAATTATAGATCATTGCCTTGCACTCTGCTTTATTTTGCAAGTAATTAATAGGTTTTCTTCTGGTGATGCTCTAGGTTAGCGTCATCGTCAGTAAATTTGAAGTTCATCCCAATCATCCCTGGTGGATGCCCTTATAAGTACCCACCTACTGCGATGAAAAGAAACTTGAGTTCGTGTGTAGCTGAAAAAGAAATTACAATGGTATAATAATGGCTGGGTTGCTATTAATGGTACTAGTAGCAATGTTGGGGCCCAATTCGTGAAAAATATCGCATACGAAAGAATGGGCCACTGCTAGCAATTTTGAGCCATGTTAATGGATCTATCACCAATGATTGTTATTGTTACCATTAATACGATATTGTGATGCTATAATAAATGTACCAACATTTAAGGTCTTTAACAGGTCTATAGGTACTTATAGTGTAGGAATATTTAGCTGCAAGAAATGTACTGTAGAACATACGGACTGCAGTGGATTACGCTAGTTTCCGAAGAATATTCCTAAAATAGATTACTTAGGTTGTATATTACTTATATCTAATTTTGTTCGATATTGCTGTCGGTGGTCCATATCTAGGGTTTCATGAAGCTTGAGAGAAATGATAGCACTTTCAACTTTTCTAGTTGTAAATAAAACAAGGGAAATTTGTACATAGGAGTGTAGCTACTTAGTGTAAATGATGTTTCTACCATTCCACCACGGTGTCTATACCAGCTGATAGCTGAATTTAACCACACTCGAATTGTGATGTATTCCATCTTTTTCCACAAGTTCTTGAAGCTTTTCATGGCTATCTTGTATTATGGTGCTCGCTTTTTCTTTAAGGGGAATTTTTGGAATGAATAAAACCCAATTACCTATGTTGCTCAAAGAAGAAACAATATTTATTAAAAATACCAAAAAAATAAAAAAGATAATATATATTAACTCTCACAAATTTATACATAAACAAAAATAAATAAGAATAAAATTCAAACAAGATAATTATTATGGCAAGTACAAAAAAATAACTGATGCAAAAAAATATGTCGTACCACAGCCCCCTACACTTACAAGCCATGAAGTTGGAAATGACGGCAACGTCGCGTATGGTGCTATTTTGTTATCGAGGTTATTGTTTCTGTGTATTGCGTTCATTGTATATTGTTGCAGTTTAGTATTTTTGTGGGCATTATTGACGAAAAAGTGGATAGAAACACACCGATATATTGCCCATATTTAGTTGATACCTGTTCCTTTATGCTTTGATTGCAAATTTTCAGCAAATGGTTACAGCAGCAAAAATGAAGGTAATGTAAGGTTAAAACAATAAAAACAATATTAATATTGTGCAAGAGCATAGGTCTCGATATATTACCTAAGATATTTAAACTTTTTTCCAGATGCCATGAAACTACTGTGTTCCTGATAAGTGCAAATCGAACTAGGAGTTCCTTAAAACCTGAAGAAATGCAAACATTTATTTCCAAAAAAATTCTGAAATGTAGAAGTTGTGGATGAAAGCAATACACCAAGATAATTATACCCGAGATTGGCGAGATTATACCATAATGAAAAATTCTGTGGTGTGTTGTGAACATTTTGAAGAAACCGAAATAATTAGATTTGAAACAAACAAGAATAAAGGAGTAATTCGAGAGTTCAAACTAAAACGTCCAACTCTTAAAAGTACCTCTTATTTTCGGAAATCAGCTCAAGTATTTGAATAAACCTGCCTTCTGAAAAAATCCCGAAAAAAGAAAAAGTTAGATTTTCAAAAGACATACTGAAACATAGGCTTATAACACTTTAGAATCTAGAAATATATTCATTTAAATCAATTATTTACTGTTCTTATTTACACATATAGTTATATTATTCATTGAATTACTGTTTTTGACCCGTTAGTACAATAAATGATGCATTTTTTGTCATTATTATTAACAAAATAAAAAATATATACTTATAAAAACAAACAGCACCAGTACCACTTGGCGGTAAGATTGCGGTGTTGCCTTTTTAACTTCATGGCTTGTTAAGTGTAGGAGGCTGTGGTCGTACACAAGGAAGTAACTCAAGAAAACTTGTAGGTATTTAAAATACACAGTTTAAAGCACTATTATCTAAATATTATGACAGTCTTTAAAGAAAAAAAATGTTTAAATGTTTTGGACTAATATTCCAAAGTCAACTTTGAAATATTCCTATTCACTAATTTCAACTAATGGTAACTTTCATAAACTCTTTTAAATGCAGTAAACACTATAGTATAGTCTAGGTTATATTATTGATTTAGGCTTTTTATAGGCCTTTTGAAAATTGGTCAAGATTTTTTTTATGTCAATTAATTTTCTCTCTCATAGTTTATTTTGCACAACTGTTTGATTAAGTTCAAATTGTATTATTAGGCTATTTGGCAGTTACATTACTGAATTAGACCAACTAAATTCGTAAGTGATGTGCAGCTAGAGAGTCTAGCCAAAAAGAAAAATCACTTCTACCTAATTCCTAATTTGTGTCTGCACATCACAGCGACATAATTTTCCTAGCTAAAATGAAGTGACTAGACATTAGTAGGTGCTTCCATGCCACAAATGATGCTTTTCATAACGCTTGAGGCTGCCAGAGCTGCATAGGGTTGCCATTCTTTCCGTCTTGTACCGTCTTTGTAATCAGAAATACCTAAACAAGAAATAATTGATACAAAATAAGTTGCTCGCTAGATCTAATTGTTAGGTACCTCTTATACACACAAAACTATCTTTACAGTTTCCTAGAATCGATTCGATCACAGCATCAAATTCGCAATCAAAAGCCAATGCACCAACTTGAGCTGCAAATTGTTGTCTCAACCTGTCATCTTTGACTACTTGACGGCCTGAAGCTACTGGGGCTAAGTGGATCCGTGGACAGCCCTCTAGTCTGCAGAAAAATATTGAAAATTACGCATAGGAAAGAGAAAGTAACCAAAAACTAACTACAACTACACTAAATTTGCCTAAAAAGAATTACATGTGTTGTGCTATGTTTATCATTTAAGGATAATCTCCCGCAATTTTTATTTATTTATTTCCTAATTCACAGGCGATTCATTATAGAGAACATTGTTTGATCAATCAATAACCACCGCAATAGATATATTAAAAATAATGGAATCTAACGAAACACAAGGACTACATGATAATTAGAGATTTGAAAGCGAATATAGGTAAGGCCAGATGCTTGCCAAATTGTCAAAAACTGATGGTATCTTTAGAAAATGTTTATTTTTTACAATGGACAAAATTGAAGAAATCAGTTATTAGAATAAGAATAGATCTAACAACCACGTTGAAACTTTTAGCGTTTTATTGGTATCTATATTTTGTTATTAAAAAATGGATTTTCAAATGAACTATACTTCATGCCTAGTATTTTCGCTTTTTTATAATTAAACGTGACAAAATGGCACATTTACGTCCGAATTCCTTCCATAGACTCAGATCCGCTGGGCAAACAATACCTATAAGAAAAAGATGCTGTCCGTAATAGGCATGAAATAAGTGAAATCCTGGTTCGCTTTTGTAAAAGTCGTAACTTATATCATAGTTAAACATATAGTATGAACACAGAAAATTGAACTGAATGTCCTTGAATGACAAAGCCAAACATGAAAATAATCAGCAATTCACAATGTGCATCTTCTTGCAAATATGAGGTAATCCGAATATTTTCCATAATTCCATATTATGGAATATGGTCTACATTTGTTTAGAAGTGCTTTCTCTTGGCATTCCCGCTTCTTTTCAATCAAAGTCCATCGAACGTAGAGATGAAGTGCGCTTTCAAGTTGAAAACAACCTAAATTGGAGATATTACATACACAAATATGGCCGACCACGATGGACATTGAGTTGTCTTTGAGTGTATTTTTCAGTGGCTTACATTACATCCAAAATTAATGTGAAAGCAGTGTGGGAAGTGGGAAGTCACTACTATAGTTTTGTGCTTATGAATTACATAGCTGTGCTTATCGTCGAATTCCTTGAGAATATGGGATTTTTTTGAAACAAGTGTTTTTGCAGCGTTGTCAGTGCATCTCGTCAGAATTACTTTTCTTGAAAATTATGGAAGAGCTTCATTGTGGATTTTGCGCCCAGATATGTTTTTTCAGGGAAAGCAAGACTCAATTGTTTGGATGTTCATGCGATAATGGCCAGAAAATCTCGTGTCATGTAGGGATTGTAGCAAAATTTCCTCACAGGAGGTAAGGTGTGCAACTGCTAAAACTAGAACCTTCTTGATATGATGCAGGGATTGCATTAAGACATTTTCTGAATTCAGTACTACTGATGAGAATTCAGATAATATTAATTCCAAGGACTCTGCGAACTCCACGAAATTGCTAACTAGTAGTAATGAAGTAACCAAACGCCTACTTAATGAAACCCTGGAGCCTGGAGGTGGTCGGAGGACGTCTAATTGAGAAGTTTGATGCCATGTTCAAAGTTGTGTTGGAGAGCCATAAGGAGGTAGTGCGATTTTTGCTGGAAGGGCAAAAAAAAGAACGCAACTTGCTGGAAGCCGGGGTGGACGTGGCAGCGCTGCTTTTTCCCCCCCTACAAGCGAAAAGCGTGACGAATAATGGAACAGCTGTTCAAGTTCAAACAAGGCAGGCCAATGTTGCCAAATCTCCCTCTTCTTCTTCTCCTGCGCTAGTGGACCTGCAAAGTGCAGAGCAGGAAGTGCAGACACCATGGAGAAACGAAAGCGCTCGTCGACAGGTGATGGAGAAAAAAGGAGATGTAGAAAATAATAGTTATTTAAGTATTAAGGGCGGTAAGTGTCGTTTACCGCCCGAGATTGTTTGAAGACCGACGCGTAGCGGAGGTCTTCAATATTCGAGGGCGGTTAACGACACTTAACGCCCAAAATACTTATTACGTTTTATGCACGATCGGGCTATTCCAGTTCAAAAACTTAATTTATAGAATGGCATCCAATTGACATTTTCAAAAATAGAATTGTCTTCCTCCTATAAAGGCGCGTTCCCAATGAAAAATTGGCAACTTTTGTATTTGCAACGCTTCCAAAAATCACAACTCTTATTTCCATGGTTATCCACCACCGCACATTATCTATAACAATTATTATTATTATTATAGTTGGCTGGACTACTTGTTTCTAATGGTTGGTATGGTTCTTATGGTGCTTCTCAAATTGTTTATTTGTGTTAGTTACGCAAAACTCGCTTTCAAACAATACGGTTGCAAGCTGCAAATACGCTTTTTTGAAATTTAAGGAGAAATATGAGTGAAAATAGTGATAGTGAACTGGAAAATGCTTGGAATATTGGTTGTGATGCTGTGATTCCGGAAAAATCAAGGCAACGGTACGAAAAAACCTTTGAAATCTTTAAGAAGTGGTGCGTTGACAAAAACTGGAGGCACCAGATGATAGATACTTGATTTTGAAAGTGAGTTAATTTACCTGTGTTTTTAACAATGCAAAGAATTAATTTGTTGTTTTTTCGTAGATAGGCATGATATTTGGTGTAGCTGGAGCATGCAGAAGGGAGGAATTATGTAATTTGACTTTACAAGACATAGATAATCAGGAAACGTTCATTTTTGTTAAAATACCCAATACAAAAACCAATATTCAAAGGAGTTTCACCATCACTGGTAAAGAAGACCAGCGAGTGGATTATTTGGAGATTTGTAGGAAATATATCGAACTACGACAAAAAACCGCAAAATCAAACAAGTTATTCTTAAAAATTCGAAACGGCTTTTGCACTAATCAAGTTGTAGGAAAGAATACCATAGGAAAATGGCCAGCACAAATTGCCACATTTTTAAATTTGCAAAATCCTTCTCAATACACTGGACATGCTTTTCGCAGAACTTCTGCGACGCTTCTTGCAAATAGCGGCGTAGAAGTATTAGCTCTCAAAAGACATGGAGGTTGGAAATCCTCGACGGTTGCCGAGGGTTATATCGAGGACTCCATAGAGAGCAAATTGAAATTCGCAGACCAAATTTTACACCAAACTCCTTCAACAAGTGGTAAGACTTCGATCCAAACAACATCCAGACAACTAAACGATGAACCTCATCCTGTTTCTCTGATAAATGATACAGAAAATACGGTTGTTCTTGATAAGCACATAAGAAAAGGAGGTGTTGTGATAGATAATTCACATAACTGTATATTTAATTTGTATGTTAACAAAAAATAATAATATTTAAATTCTATTAATATTAAACCTATGTACTTATAGTTGTTGAGGTGCATAATAAATTATAATTCTTGTTTTATTTCTATTTCCATAGTTGACAACACGGATTAAATTGAACTAGTGGCCTCCACCAATATTCGAGAGTGTTTGATGACACGAAAATAGCGGGCAGTAAGTTCAACTTACCGCCCGCAAACGCGGGCGGTAAGTAGTACTTACCGCCCGCTCGTGCATAAAAATATAAACAAAAACAAGGAATCAGCTGAGAATGAATTTACCCGAGAATTTACCCTAGTACAAAATCGAAAAAGAAATCGTAAAAGCAACCAAAGTTTTGTTTTAGGAAAGGCAAATTTTCGAGAGGATGAGAATTATGCAGGCTCAATTCAGAGGTCATGTTTTTATCTCGGTCGCGTTAAAATAGGTGTAACGCCCAATTTTATTGAACAGCATAGCATATTAAAAAGCAATGTCCAGATATTAGGGACCAACGGACCTTAAAGTTGAACCCTTGCCAGTTAAACGAGAAACTATCTCTTTCAAAGTAAGTATCCACTCGGATTACAAGGAAAACTTTTCACGACCTGATATCTGGCCAAAAGGCGTAATTTTAAGAAAATTCTGGAGGAACAATGTACGTAAGTTAGGGTTGCCAGACGTCCCGATTTTAACAGGACAGTCCCGATATTGGAGATTTTGTCCCGTGTCCCGATGGACTATACGTCGGGACGCTAAATGTCCCGATTCCACGAAATTCTTTTGAAAGTTAGATAAAATTAAAAGTACTTATAAGGGCGAGTATTATAAAACTATTTAGGACGGGTATTATAAAACTATTTTGATAGAATATAAATTAAAGTTAACTTGTGCAATGAAGATACTTCTCATAGTATTTCCAGAAGTTAACTTTTAGTTATCTTTCAAAATAGTTTTATACCTGCCCTTAGGGCGGGTATTATAAAACTGTTTTGACAGTTAACTTGAAGTTAACTTTTTGAATTACATATAATTCTAGAAGTTAACTTTAAGTTAACTCTCAAAGTAGTTTTATAATACCCGCCCTTAGACAGATAACTAAAACTTTACTTCAGGGGGCCGATTCTCGAGCCAGGGAGTGGATCTCCTCGAGAGAACACATTTTTCGTCTTTATCATTCTCGTTTACTTTTCGATTACGTTAACAAGGAAAAAACATTCGTTCTATCGGGAAGCTCTACTCCTTTAAACGAGAATCCGGGCTGGATTATCCGGCCCCTGGAATAACAAGAGAAGTTACGTCATTCCAGAAGTTAACTTCTAGTTATTCTGACAAAATAGTTTTATAATACCCGTCCTAAGTCACTCTTTTTGAATTGTACCTACTTTTAACCCCGAGCTTGATTTTATTTTTCAGAACTATATTCGTCATTGATAATCACTGTATGTGGTGGGTCTGTTAGAAGATTTATCTACAAAGCAAGTAGTCTGTTTCGTGAGATATCATATACTCCCTGGAGTCTGGAGATATCCAGAGGTTTTTTCTGTTGGGGTGAAAAGAATGGAATTTTTGTCCATTTTGATTCTTACTAAAAGAAGGTGAACATTTTGGGAAATAATTAAGTTGGGTTTGTTTCATATTTTTCATTTTATCCAGATTTTAGCCCTTTTCTCATTATTTAAGAGGTTCGAGCAGTTAACTGAAGTCGAATACCTACAACTGGACA